CCCCACACTGCTGCCTCTCTGTGTGTGTGTGTGGGGGGGGTCCCTTGGTTACATCTTCCATGCTCCGTACAGACTATTTCATGCCGGACAAATAGGTTCCTCCCGGTAACCAGTCTCCACAACAATCCCTCCCAGCCCATCCACCCCATCAGATGAACAACGTTCCCTACCTTTGAACCCACAGACTGTCTCCACCGTGGCAAAACGTGCGAACCTGGCCCAAAAAAGGGGGGGTTAGTGAGCTTCCTTAGTGGTAATGTGCCTAGTGGAGAGACCGTTGCACTAGTGTCTGGGTTCTAGGCTGTAAACGCCGCACGCTCCCCCGGCCTTTGCCCTGGTTGGCCTGCTGGCAGGGCAGCAGCAAGGACTCTGCGGGCCGGCTCAGCCCTCCTGGAGGGCCCGATCGGGTCTGCAAAGGCCCTTTTCATAGAATCCTAGAACACTAGGACTGGAAGGGCCCTCGAGAGGTCATCGAGTCCAGTCCCCGGCCCTCACGGCAAGACCCAGCACTGTCTAGAGTCGACCACCCCTGAGAGACATTTATCTGACCTGCTCTGAAATCTCTCCAGAGATGGAGACTCCACAACCTCCCTGGGCAATTTATTCCAATGTTTCACCACCCTGACAGGTAGGGAGTTTTTCCTAATGTCCAACCTAAACCTCCCTTGCTGCAGTTTAAGCCCCTTGCTTCTTGAGGCCAGGAAGAACAAGTTTTCTCCCTCCTCCTTGTGACACCCTTTTAGATCCCTGAAAACCCCTATCATGTCCCCTCTCAGTCTTCTCTTTTCTAAACTAAACAAGCCCAGTTCTTTCAGCCTCCCTTCATGGCTCCTGTTCTCTAGACCTTTAATCATTCTCGTTGCTCTTCTCTGGACCTTCTCCAATTTCTCCACCTCTTTCTTGAAATGTGGTGCCCAGAACTGGACACATTTTTGCCCACCGTTGAGCTAGACGGTGGGTAAAATCACACCCGGGGGCCGGATTCGGCCCACCAAGCATTTCTCTCTGGTCCGCCCAGCTGATTAGCAGAGGTGCAGACTTCCAGCCGTCCGCCTGTGTTCAGCTGCCCCTCCCCACACTTTGCTTCACCCTGCAGCTGAGCTTCTTGCAGGTTTCTCCTGCTAGCTGTGCAGAGTGGGGGCTGTGCCGGGTCGGGGGAACCAGCTTGTCCCCTTGCCCCTGTCTCTGCAGAGCAGGGATCAGCGAGAGGGAGACACAGCGGGGCTGCTCAGGCCTGAGGTATGGACGGGGAGCGACTCGGAGGAGCGCCTGTCTTAGGGGGCAGGGCCCTGTTTGTAAGATTTCAGTGCTCGGGCGCTCGCTCGCTCTCTTACACACAGCCCCCCTCCCCACTCACTTCTGCAGAACAGGGGCAGGCAGTTAGCCCCGTCTTAAAGAGACAGTGCGTGGCTGCTCTCAGAAACTCAGCAGCAGCCACACAATCGCTGTGTCAGTGTCGCACACGCACCCACTCTACGCCACACAGTCGCTGTGCTTTGCACGCACAGGCGCTGTCCCACACCCAGTCTGTATCACAAAGTCTGCCTCTCAAACACTCTCTCTGCAGCCCCCCAATCCACCCCGTCCGACCACGGTCCTGCCTCTTCCACCAGGCCTCGAGTCGGCCCCTGGCCACATACCAAAATTCACAGAGTGTCCCCCCTGCAAAAGTTATTGCCCACCTCTACCTGTGGGCCGACATATTTCCAAGGGCCAGGCTTGTTCGTCCGATTCAGCAAAACCAACGAGTCCAACAGCACCTCACAGGCTAACCGATTTAGGCCCAAGTAAACATGTTAGTCCTTAGGTACCACAGGCCTGCTCGTTATTAATTAGTGTGTGTGTTTCAGTGAAAAAGTGCCCAGCTGAGATGCGGAGGGATAGGACATTTTCAAAAGTATTTAGCAAATACTAGTAGGGTTGCCAGATGGTTTAAAAAAAAAATACCGGACGAAAATTTGATACAAATTTGTCAAGCAAAACCAAAAACTGACGGAAAATTTGTCAAGCAAAAAAACCCCCCAAAAGCTCCAGGAAATAACCAAGGAGACCGGCGAAAAAATGCAGCCGTGGCCCCTTTAATTGCTGCACGTCCCAAGCAGGCTTCCATCGGGCGCCGAGCCAGGCCCAGGAAAAGCAGAAAAACGTCCTTGATTAGAAAATACCAGACATGGATATGGTTGGTATTTTCTCAATTTGTTTACCGGACACAAAGTCCAAATACCGGACTGTCCGGTTCAATACAGGACACCTGGCAACCCTACTAACAGTGGCTTTCCCAGAGGGATGGGCCCCTGTCTGTTCTCGGATTGCTGCTCGTGGGTGGGGTAGCAGAGAGCCACAGAGGGCAGGAAAGTGCCCGGCTCTGTAAGGGCCACGTCAGGGGTTGCAAAGAGGAGACAAGCGAGGAGCACTTTTGACTTGCTGAATCAGCCTTTTGATCATGGCAGTGAATGCCTAAAGCCCAGAGCTGTTAGCCATATTTTGGCCAACATCAGGGTTTGAACCGGAGCTGATGTCTACAGCTTAGACTGAAGAGACAGGCTCTGGAGCAGGCTCACATCCTCTCCAGCAGGGTTGGGTACTCCAGATTTTGGCCGCGTTTTTCTTTGGAGGGAGTGCAGGGTCTGGGTGTGGAAGGGAGCTCAGGATGGGGGGCAGGAAGGGGCGTGGGAGCTGAGAGGGAGTTTGGGTGAAGGAGGGGGTTGTAACCTGAGGCAGGGGGTTGGGGTGCAGGGTCTGGGATGCAGGAGAGGATTCTGGTCTGCGGGAGGGATATAGGAGGAGGTGCAAGGTCTGGGAGGGAGTTGTGTCCTTGGGCAGAAGGGGTGCAGATGGTTTGGGTGGTGACTTGGGCCAGGGAATTGGGGTGCAGCAGGGTGCAGGATCAGGGTTCAAATGGGTGTTTGTTTCCAAATTTCCTTTGAGGTTATTAACTCCCGAAAACGGATAAAACCCAAAAGAAACATTTTTGATTTTTTTCACAACAAATCATTTCATTGGACATTCCCGCGCCTCCCCCGCTGTGTTGGTTTTTGGAGGCGTTTCAGCAATGACAGCCCAGTGAAAAGAGCTTGATTTTCACAGCTCTCCTGGGCCCGTCACATTCATGGTGCTATATAAAGTGACCACAGGCCATGGGAATTCTCCTGCGAATAGCAAACGCTTCCATTCCAATGTACTTCCGAAGCGTGCCTCCAAAGCAGCCAGCATCAAAGCGGCGCACGTATTGTATTTAGCAGATGTAACACAATGTGCTGGATCGAAACCAAACTGCCGTCATAAAGTCATTCAACGTATTTGGATTATTCCTGGAAAGCCAGAACTTACGACGAGCAAACACCCCTGGACCTTCTGCTGCCACTTCCGCTTCCGTTGCCTGGCGGCAGCCCAACAACACAACACATCAGGAGTTTGTAGAAGCGGGTGGCAATGAACTTTCCTTCGAGCCAATTCGATGGAGGCTACCGCAAAAGAGGGCCGGGTTAAATGATTTGTCCAAGCAAAAGCAAATCCATTCCCAGTGGCAATCTCCCATGCAGCAGGGAGCGCATGTGACGGAAGGCATGGAATTTTAAATTCAAGCGAGGGAGGAATGTAAGGAATTGCGTTACAGAGCTGCTCAAACAGGGAAGGAATTGTGATAAAGTGCAATCTAGTGTGTTAGGCGCTGAGGATAGAACAAGAAGCAATGGGCTTAAACTGCAGCACAGGAGGTTTAGGTTGGCCATTAGGAAAAACTTCCTACCTGTCAGGGTGGTCAAACACTGGAATAAATTGCTTAGGGAGGTTGTGGAATCTCCATCTCTGGAGATACTTAAGAGTAGGTTAGATAAATGTCTATCAGGGATGGTCTAGACAGTATTTGGTCCTGCCATGAGGGCAGGGGACTAGACTCGATGACCTCTCGAGGTCCCTTCCAGTCCTAGTATTCTATCATTCTATGATAAGGACTTTATGTTAAGTTCAGGAGAACACAAGTAATGAGATTGTCCTACTGCACTTTGCATCTTGTCCACACTAGTACAGAGGAAAGCCAGTTCCTGCTCTGGCTTGCACCCCATGACACCCCATCGTTGTCAATAGGGTTGCCCTCGGTCAGCCTGTCTGTACTGCAGTAGCCTCTAGGAGCCCACCACAAGGACTCCATGGGGCTAGGCACCATATAGGACAAAAAGTCCTTGTCCAAGTCTAGACATGCCACAGGTGGACAAAACACGACAATGGGAACAAATCAGGGGTGTCTGTTGGAGAAAGAGGTAACAAAAGAAAGAGGGTACGTCTACACTAGCCCCCTAGTTCGAACTAGGGAAGCTAATGAGGGCGACTGAAATTGCTAATGAAGCAAGGGATTTAAATATCCCGTGCTTGATTAGCATATTCCCAGCCGGTCACCATTTTTGGAAACTGACTAGCCCAAAGTAATCGCCCGCGTCTACATGCGGCAGAGAAGCGGGATTCCGAGATAAACCCCTTAGTTCGAATGAACTGTTAAACCTCATTCCACGAGGAGTAACAGTCAATTTGAACTAAGGGGTTTATCTCGGGATCGTGCTTCTCTGCTGCATGTAGACGCGAGCAGTTACTTTGGGCTAGTCAGTTTCCAAAATGGTGACTGGCCAGGAATATGCTAATCGAGTGCGGGATATTTAAATCCCGCGCTTCACTAGCAATTTTGGTCGCCCTCATTAGCTTCCCTAGCTCGAACTAGGGGGCTAGTGTAGACGGACCCAGAGAGTTCAGCAGAAAACCAGAAGCCACAACTCTCGTGAGGGCCTGACGGGAGTGGCTCGTCGGCCTCACAACACAATAGGGCTTGGGAAGGGATTGAAAAGAGTTTTGATGAGGGATTTTCCTAGCCATTGGGCCTGGCGCATGCAGGTTGGCGGCTTGATATTATCAGTTTGTATTTCCAGTGGTGCCCGTCCTGGTAGCCGTTACTTGGTCAAAAGCTAGACGGAGGCACTTGAGTCGTAACCATTCTCCTTTCCTTTCTGCAGGAACCTGATGCCGCGGACCCTGGAGGGCCAAATCACAATGGAAAAGACCCCGAGTTACTTTGTGACCAAGGAGGCCCCGAAGCGTATTTACAACATGTCCAGGGACACCAAGCTGATCGTGGTGGTGAGGAACCCGGTCACCAGGGCCATCTCGGACTACACACAGACACTGTCCAAAAACCCCACCCTGCCCAGCTTCCAGGCCCTGGCCTTCAAGAACGTCAGCACGGGTCTCATTGACACCAGCTGGAGCGCGGTGCGGATCGGCATCTACGCCAAGCATTTGGACAACTGGCTGCAGTATTTCCCCCTCTCGAGATTCCTCTTTGTCAGCGGGGAGAGACTGGTGAGCGACCCGGCGGGGGAGATGGGCCGGGTGCAAGACTTTCTGGGTCTCCAGAGACTTGTGACGGAGACGCACTTCTATTTCAATGAGACCAAGGGCTTTCCCTGCCTGAAGAAGCCGGAAGGCAGCGGCCGGCCTCGCTGCTTGGGGAAGTCCAAAGGGCGGCCTCATCCAAAAATCCACCCGCAGGTGATCCAGCGCTTGCAGGAGTTTTACAGACCCTTCAACATGAAGTTCTATCAGATGACCGGGCAGGATTTTGGGTGGGACTGAAATCTCCCCGGGCCGTTGGCTTTCTACGCGACGGTGGGGAGAGAGGGCAGCTAATCCCCTGGGCGGTCCGGCGGGGCCTTTTGCACGTTGGGTGCCAAGTTACCCAGGGACGCTAGCATAGGAGTATCCCAGGCAAACTTCTGAAAGACTTTCCCTGTGTTCTAATTTATATCGGACCCGTTCCTGGCGAGAAACGTACAGTTCCTGAGCAGGGAGAAATATTTAAGAAAGAAAAACCAAGCCAAACAAACAAACAAAAACCCGACCCCAGAGCATATGAAATATTCTTCCATATCAGTTTTGCTGGTCTATATTAACCAGGACGGTTTTCCCATGGGGAGGGGGAGAGTGTGTGTGCGCCTGGGTGGGTGTGTGTAGTGACAAAGAGTCACAATAAAGCTTTGCAAACCCGAACTGGCCTCCGAATGCTGCTCCTTCGCTGACCCTGCGGAGAAGGCTGGAACATTCACGACCAGCCTCCCCGGGCCTTTTCACTAGCAGAGGAATGGGACCCAGTCACCCAGCTGTGTGTGGTTACTGGAGGCCTTTCTTACAAGGAGAAGCCAGGAAAATAACAACGGCAGCCGGGTTCGAAGCTGCGTTTCAGCGATGTAGCTTCCAAGGGGCTAGACTGATTTTAACCCAGCTCGGCATCTCTCACCAGATATTCAAACCCAAGTGACATAGGGTAATAACGTGCTGTCATCGAATCATAGAATCCCAGGCTGGAAGAGACCTCAAGAGGTCATCAAGTCCTGCCCCCTGCCCAAAGCAGGACCAATCTTATGGGCCTGATGTTACTCCTGCCTTGGGAGCCGATGGGATTTTGGCCATTGACTGTATTGCAGGCAATAGCACGCCCCAGATTTAAAAAAAAAATGTATTTCCCTATTACTTTTTATGCTGTTTGTTTTTCCTTTTGTGCATCACTCAGTTGGGGCCGTGCACTGTGGCCTAGCTCAGCGGTGGACAATAGCTGGCCCATGGGCCGGATGTGGTTCGCCAGGGTTAGCCCGTGGCAGGCTACTGACGCTTGATTTCCCTGCGCCTCCGCAGCTACAGCCTCTTGCAGCTCCCAGTCGCTGTGGATCGTTGTTCCCGGCCAATGGGAGTGGGGGAAAGTGGTGTCCCGGACTGGGCCGTATCCCACAGCTCCTGTTAGCCAGGAACGACGAATTCTGTGGCTATACCTGCTGAGAGGCAGGTAAATAAAGCGCCGGTGCCCTGCCAGGGGCGGCCTGTGAGCCTAGGCAGTTGCCTAGGGTGCCAGCAGCCCGGGCACCCGATGATGACGTCACAGGGCGCCCGATGATGACGTCACGGCCCTTGATGGCCATGCAGGCGGGGGCGTTGATCGTGCCTTCCGCCTGGGGCACCAGCTGCCGCAGCCGGCCTCGGGCTGCTCCTGCCAGGAGCTAACTCTGGTGAACTGCATCTGACTTATTGCCCAACTCTGCCCTCGATCCTCAAAAGTATTTAGTCACCTGACTCCCCTCCACATGCCTTTGAGGCGCCAGGCCTTTGTTTCTAGTCGGTTTCACTTTCCAATTTTTTGTGCCTACTCCCAGCAAGTTTGTTTTTTAGTTTTCCAAGCTTCAAGCTGCTGTGGGCGTCGTCCTCTTCCCAAAGCTCTTTTTTTTTTTTAATGAAATTGGCCAATAAATAAAATAAAACATTGTGTGTGTAAGAATTTTGTAAAAGCCCTTTTTAAAAAGACGATCTGAATCTCAGACGTAAGTTACATTGGGTGTCCTTAGAAACTGTTCCTCAGTTTGATCGTTTCTGCCAGATCTTCAGAAAACAGGGCACAATGAATTTCAAAAATAATACCAATGGTCTGTGGATGATTTGTTATTTAAAGGCTTGGTTCTGCCTCCGAGAAGTTGGTGGGAGCTTTGTCGTTGATTTCCGTGAGGGCAGACTTGTGGCTTATATATGCACAGCGTGAGATCTTGGGCCTTTTGGAACTCAACTGGTCAGGATTTTATCCACAGTTCTTTTCTGGGTTAACTGTTTGCATTAGAAATTCTATTCTGCTGCAGTTCCAGGGACATACAATATTGACAACTCTGGGCAAACATTTCCCATTCTTAATTGTAACAAAAGTTGCAGGTTTACAAATGGTTATAAAAACTTACAAGGCCAGGTGATAAATTCTGCTTGTCGGCTCTTTTCCCTGCGATAATTCATGAGAATAAAAAGTGACCGATACTTTGTCAGTCCAAATATCATTTGTCTTAGTGAGTGGTCAAGTAGCATACAATGAAGTTAGACAAAAGAAGTCTACATTGGCAAAGTTTGAACTAAAAGGAAATATTAATTCTGCCCCTAAAAAGCAAAGCACTTAACCATACAGTCAGCTTTAAAGTGGTCCTTATATCTAATTGACCTCAATGGAAGTTAAGCACCTGCTTAAAGCTAAGAAGGTACTTAAATGCTTTGTTGAATTGGGGGCATTAACAGCTGAGTCAAAACACCCATTGAATAGAGTGGGACCATTCATGGCTTAAACCTTACATGTGCAAGTCCCTTGAAGGATTGGAGTCCTTCATGTCACTTGGATTCCCGTTTTGCAGCTGGCTCTGCATTTCACAGGTTGATTTTTATTGCCGTGAGTTTCCTTTCTGAGACTGGGCAGCCACTGGCATTTCATGATGCCTCTGATCGGACAGCGAGTCCTGAGAATGGTATAGTGTTCCAGATTTAAAATGGTCTGAAAGAATAAAAACAATTGGTGGTAGTTGTCGTGGTTGCATTGTATAGCACATGTAACACAAAGTTGGAGGCCTCCGAAAGTAAGGACAAAAATTCCGCCTCCCTCGACACAATTATGCCCAAGAACATGTAGCAAAAAAAGCCAGACCCTTAGCCCAATGGCTATCACTAGGTGTTCAGGATTGCAGCCAAAAAGGGCAGTCACAGGAGGCTGGTGGAATGTGTTTCAAGTTTTTTGATCATTAAAGAGGGTCAAAACCCCGCATTTTGTTAGCCTTTCATAATCTTGTTAGTGCCTTGTGTTTGTCGTTTTAATTAGCTCATTACCCGTTTTTGGAGGGCCCCCAGGCCCTGCACGGTTTTGTACGGTGTGCTAGATCCATTTCATTTCAGTAAAAAGGTACTCTCAGTGCTGGCTGTCCTGTATGCCGTAGAATTGACCTCCGTTTCGGTGGTCACAAACCATTGGTCGCAGACCATCCCGGCTGCATTGTTAAACAGAACTTAAACTTTTTTAGAGAGCCAGTGTTTTCCTAGATAAATATAAAGTAAGCAAAAAGACTTTGCCCTGTCCAGCATTTGGGATTGATTTTACAGCTGATGTTTTCCCTGGGGTGTTTCTAGTCAGTTTGCAATACAAGTCTGTTAACATTTCCCCAATTTCTTTGCATTTTCTACAACAAGAGGCTTCCTCTTTATTCTTCATCCACTTCATCGTGGCATTTATTTTGGATGGGTGGAGCTTAAAGCATATTCGTCTGTTTCAGAGAGGAGGCGGATCTGTTTACTGCTGCAACAAACGATGCACAAAATGAAGGGACTGAGTCAGACCTGAGCCGAACGCAAACAGCTCAGCTGTTCATATAGTGAGCGAGAAACCTGAATGCGTTTTGGTGTACCTTAGAAACAGACAGGCTTTCTAATTTGCATCGGCTTTGCCCTGCCTCAATGCCTCGGTTTCTAAAACCAGCAGAGCTGTGTTGTACCTAGGTGAAGCAAAATGCAGGACTATGTAGCACTTTAAAGACTAACAAGATGGTTTATTAGATGATGAGCTTTTGTGGGCCAGACCCACTTCCTCAGATCAAATAGTGGAAGAAAATAGTCACAGCCATATATACCAAAGGATACAATTAAAAAAAAGACCATTAGCTCACAGACATCTACCTTTCCTCACCTCTAATATCATTAACTCACAGACATGTACCTTCCTTCCCCCCCCACATTCCCCTTCTGTTCTGAAATGTGATTTGTCCTTTTCATATGTGTTCATTTTTTTTAATTGTATCCTTTGGTATATATGGCTGTGACTATTTTCTTCCACTATTTGATCTGAGGAAGTGGGTCTGGCCCACAAAAGCTCATCATCTAATAAACCATCTTGTTAGTTTTTAAAGTGCTACATAGTCCTGCATTTTGCTTCAGCTACACCAGACTAACACGGCTACATTCCTATTACTATTCTAAGTATCTAGGTGAGACACAGTGAGAGGTAAACACAGTCAATAAAATCTGAAGCCATGTTGTGCGGCGCTCGAAAGGCCAGGTCGACACCTGGCATGAATCAGAGCAGCTCCATTGATTTCTGAGGAGCCACAGCGGTCTTGCGACATGGTCCCGGAGAGGCCATTGAACCAGAAATAGGTCCAGGTGACACCTACATGGCATCTTCCCCCATTTCCATCACTCCCGAGAAATAATTCTCCAGCTTCGTATGGCTGGTTTTGTCCAGCTTTGCACAAACCATCTAGGAATCTGTCTCCTCCCCTCTGACACGCCCCCGCCCCCGCCCCCTTTGAGATAAAATGAGGCCCGATCCCAAGTGCTGTTGAGTGCCCCCTAGCCTTGGTACTCAGCAGGCTCCCGGCACCTTGTAAAATCACAGACGTGCCCTCCTAACCAGCCTGCTGAGGGTTGGATGTCGGAGCCGCTGGAGTCTGTTGTGGCTTTGCCTGGCAGCGCCCCATGATGGACTGCACGTTGCTTGTCTGGGTTTTGTTTCCAGCCGCGACATTCGACCAAATGGTTCTCCACGAAGGGCTTTCAAGTTTCCCAAGTGCCTGTGAAAGCCTGGAAACGCGGCTCATGATCCTATTTCTCAGCTGAGTGGCTACATTCACCCCGAGCCACATTGATATGCAAACCGGGAAGGGCCCCGGGTCTAAAGAGGGTTTCTGTCTGCCTTGTGAAAGGGGGCCTGGCTTTCTTAAAGCCGAAGCCTGTCAAAAGCTGCACAATGCCATATAGACTGTGCCTTTTAAAGCATCTGAAGCAACCCAAATGCACGGAAAGCTTGCTTTGCAGACTCATTAAGACTCCTCAATAGGTCCTGGCAAACACCGGGCCGGGGCTGACCGCACGGATTAAGAGTTTGGAAGAGAGACACAAACCCCCGGCTTAAACTAATTGCTGCCCCCTGGCTCATGGGGTCAAGTGCTTGTATTCATTGCATTGGAGGGGAGCCGCTTGTGGGACTGCCCAGGTGAAGTCTGCAGTTCATTAGACCGGGACAATGCACTGGAAGTTTCCCGCAGGATGGGGAAAGGTAACCAAGGCGGAAATCAAATGGATTTTGCCAAGGAGACTTCTAGCATACCAACAACCCCACGCCCGCTGCGGCAGGGCTTTTCCGAAGCCTTCCAAACTGGAATAGCCGCTTTGCAAGCTAATACGCTCGAGCCTTGCCAAATGCTTCATTCAGATCCTTGCTGTGCTACCCCAAAATGGCCAGTTCAGTTCAAAGGGAATGTAACGTTAATTACATGTATCAGTCAAGTGTGTACGAGTCTCCGTCATTGTTCAGATGCTAGGCTGCAGGGGTTGATTTTTGTTTTGTTATTCTCACCCCCTGGGAGTTACTTTGAAACCCATTACTTGAATTTTGTTCCGGGTATAATGAAAGAACAATTGCAAAAGGTGACTGAGATCAGGGGAAATCCACTGACATTTCATTTTCTTTGCCTTTGGCCCTTTAGAGGTGCTGGCTGAGTAGCAGCATTTCATTCTTCCTTACCCCCCTGGTGGTTCCATAGGCTGCTTGTAAACTTTCACAACACGTTGAACGTGAATATACGGGGCTTGCTGGTCCTCCTGTGTTTCTTTTCCTGTTTGGGTTAGGGGGACTGATCAGTAAGGAAAGAAAAGCAGCAGCAAAAGAGGCTCTGAAGCAAAACTTGGCACCCGAGTGCATTTCCGGTTTGAAAACCGAGCTGGTGAATTAGGGAAGAGATTGGACGGTGAATGCTCTACTTCAGTGCTTCTCAACCTTTTTTTTATAAAGTATCCATTTAAAAAAAATAAATACATTGTAAGCACCCCCCAGTACCTACAGTTTTCACCCACACACAATTTTTTTCTACCATTGCAACACATTTGTTTAAACAATTTACTCGTAGCCAGGTAGGCGATGTCATTTTCGGGTGTAAAAAGTACAAAAATAATAAAACACTGTAAAACGTAAAACAAAAATTCAGCTTTCTCCAAATTGTAGTTGTGCTGACGTACCCCCCAGACGTCTCTCGAGTCCCCCTAAAGGTACCCATACCACTGGTTGAGAAACACCGATCTACGTGATGTCATTGTGGTGGCTTGAAATTCAGCTTGGTCTGAGAGTTCTCCATTGTACAGGTTGAACCTGTAAAATCCAGGACTCTCTGGTCCAGCAGCTTCCTTGTGGACCATGGATATTGTTGGACCAGAGAGCCCCGACTAGCCAGGTTTAGTGACCAGGGCCAAGCTGGAGGCAGTGGGGCAGGACCCCGGCCAGGACTCGCGTGGTAGGGCTGGAGGCAGCAGGATAGTAGGAGTGAGCACAGCCCCATCGGGGACCAGAGCCTACAGCTGGGTGGGGTATCTTGACCTCCCCTGGTCCGGCAAACTCCGTGGTTCAGGACCACTCAGCTCCTGATTGTGCTGGACCAGGGAGGTCCCACCTGTATCACACTGAAAACCACCCCTGCACTCTTAGCA